TGCAAGGCTGTATGCTGTCTCCGACAATCTTCCTCATTGTCATGGACTGGATCATGAGCAGAACAACTGAGGGTAGTGCCACCGGCGTCCAGTGGACCCTCATCAAACAGCTGGAGGACCTGGATTTTGCGGACGACGTCAGCCTTCTGTCCCACAAGCAACATCATGCACAGTCCAAGCTCACCCGGCTCGCTGAGGAGGCAGGAAAGACTGGCCTGAAGATCAACACCAGAAAGACGGAGGTGATGTGGCTGAACAACAAACAAGAGCGCCAACTGCAGCTGCAGGGAAAAGACATCAAGGAAACAGAGCGCTTCGTTTACCTTGGAAGCATAGTAAGCAGAGACGGCCTGGGTTCTGGTTGGTCCTTTTCCATAGCTCTGTGTTTGAGATCTTCTCTGGCCACCTGATGTTTAGGATGTGTTGCAGGCACTTGTTGATGAACGTCTGTATCTTGTTGGTGATGGTGTTCGTAACTCGCCATGTCTTGACCCATACAGGAGGACTGCTTTTACATTTGTGTTGAAGATGCGGATCTTGCTGCGCAGGGATAAGGCTTTGGAGTTCCAGATGGGTCGCAGGGTGTTGAACGCGAGCCTTGCTTTGTTGATCCGGCTCCTAACGTCTTCGTCTTCACCTTAGCCAAGACATCAGGAAAAGAAAATGGGGCTGGATCGGACACTCACTGCGAAAACCTGTTGCCAACGTTACAAGGCAGGTCTTGGACTGGAACCCACAAGGGAAAATGAAAGCTGGGAGGCCAAAACAGACGTGGAGGAGATCGGTCGGCGTGGACCCAGCTGAGGAGAGCAGCTCAGAACAGAGTCCGTTGGCGAGGTGTTGTTGCGGCCCTATGCTCCACTGGGAGTCTACAGGATTAAATGAAATGAAATAACTGTTACAAATATTACTATGAATCACAAAAAGAACAATAAAGTTAATAAGGGGTGGTTTATTAATAAATTGTTAAAGATTATAAAAATAAACTATATTTCTAGAATGAGAGAATGAAGGATAACTGAGGTAGTTTTAACTTAAAGAAAAATGATAAAGGAATAGAGAAGAAGTGAAAGTTTATTTTCTAAGCTTAAAATAATATATTTTTGAATATATCTTATTGTAATTTGTGTGCATATGTGTGTAAGTATTTAATTAATGCTATTTTATTTTTAGTTAAACTTTTTTAGCTGAAAGTTTCTATAGATTTTCTGTAAAATTGAAACCGGTTGAATGTAAATCAGATCATGTCATCAAAAAGTCAGGAAATAATAAAAAAACAGAAGAGGTTAAGTAATGTCATGTTTCAATATGTATATATATGTATGTATTGTGTATTTGTTTTAGAATTTTCGCGCAAAGCTACACAAGGTCTATCCTAAATGTGAACTTATAGACAAGAAAGAAGGCACTAGTCAACAGAATCCATCGTCAAACCTTGAACTGCTCTGTCAAATCGAAAAGTGGGACTTTATCGTCATTCTTATAGCGCACTCACGGTCCCAAAATGCAGAGCGTGATTTTTTTTTATTTTTGGTAAAGGGGTGCAAACTTTGAACTTTCGGATTCACAGTCCGGGCACGCTAACCTCTAGGCCACGATCGGCATTTGGTGATATGTATCAGGCTGATTAACTAATGTAATAACTTATTCAAAGAAAATATTTCAGCATTGTAGACTGAAGATATGTATATTTTTTTTTACTCTTAATGTTTCACAAGTACCGTTCAATCTAATAGTAAAAATATTTCAAGCAGTATATATGTATACATACAGACATGCCTTGTAGTGTGGCTCTCAGGAAACCGTAGATCTATGTGTTCTGATATCACGTGTTCAAACCGAAGTTCGAAGCACGTTTCGTACACGTTATTATAACAACCATGACAATATGTTAGAGTATAATCTATTCGATTCATATGTATATATGTCGACGTTGCGTGTGAGAAAGACATTTCTCGACATATTCTAAATGCACGATGAATTAAAGGTAAATCAAATTTTCTAACATCAAAAGCACGAGTTATGCAAATATAACAATATCCTGAGCATCTGTTTCTTTTATTTCTACTTATACACAATCTTTATATAGCACCGTTTCCATAACTACTTGCTTTCGGAAACTAATCTACGCATAGATGAATTGTATACTTTGAAACTCATTAAAATTCGCTTCTCTGAATTTCAATTTTAATTAAATTCGTATCGTTCTTACGGCAATTACTTTATCTTCCAATATTCTTTGAATATATTATGCGCTTTAATTGAAATACAATCAGCAAATGTATTATTTTATGTAATTGTGTCTCTGCCTGTCTATCTGTTTCTAATTTTTAAAGGCAATATTTATGGAATAAGAAATAGTTATTACAGTGAATTTCAGCACTATTTATATTTAATTTTAATAAACGAAGTACATTTACGCGCTTTAAACAACAACTGGTATTGTATTCTTCTTTTCAAGCTTAGGCCGGGAATGGTCTACAGTGATTAGGGTGCCGATTAGGGTGTGGATCCAAGGGGCCATGAATAACGTCCCGTTGTCGTAAACGTGTGCTCCGCACTTTGGGGCCGTAGGAGCATTATAAGAGTGAAGATCTACTCCCACTATTACATTAGAGTCGCACAAAGTGGGTGGTGGGTGCTTTTGACTTCTCTGTAATCTATCTGTTGTTACGTATTAAAATTTCAAATGTTCTGAAATTGAGTTAACTGATAAATTTAAATTTA